GAAAGTGAGGCTCGCAAGCAGTATGCTGGAGCAGGCCCAAGAGTCTGGAAACTCAGTGGGGCAAGTTTGTGCCTTTTGGCTTTGCTTCCAACTAGTCAAGGCTAGCCATAGTGCTTCAGCAGAGGAGGACATGTTCTTGAACCTATCATCTCTCAGCGACCCGGCTGGGGATGTGGAGGGCGTTTTCAACGAGCTGTATACGACGGCAGTGCAAATTCTCGACCGCCACACAGAGGTAGAGCCTGTTGATTGGCGACTGGAAGCTCTTGCTTTGGAGGTTACTGCCTACACAGCCCAGAGATCAGGAGAATCATTTCGACCAGAATTGATTGATGTGTTGTTTCCAATCGCAACATTCTTGGGGTCTAGTAGCCAAGGCCTACAGAAGCACGCTATCGTCACGTTGAACAGCATAGCAGCTTCATGTGGATACTCCAGTGTTTCGGAGCTCATAATCAGCAACGTTGATTACATGGTCAACTCTGTCTCTCTGCGGCTGAACACTTTGGATATCTCACCAGCATCGATCAATGTCTTGACTATGATGATCCGATTAGCAGGCCCTCGACTAGTTCCTTACCTTGACGACGTCATTGACTCCATTTTCGGAGCGTTGGACAACTATCACGGTTACCCGGTGTTTGTGGAAAACCTCTTTAGTGTGCTTAAAGAGGTGGTGAATCAAGGTGTTCGTTCGGACATGCTCTTGCTAGAACACCAGACGAGCTCAAAGCCAGACCACCGAAAGAAAGCACAGAAGACGGATGACATATCTTCTCTCTTGGATAGCCTGGCAAAGAGAAAAGAGAGAACTTCTCGCGACGAGACAGAGACAGATCAAGTGCGCGGCCACCCAAAAATACCTTGGAAGAAGGAGGACAAGAAGGAAGACGACGACGAAGAAGGGGCAAATCCTCCAGCCGAGGAAGAAAAACCTCCAAACTCTCAAACGTACCAGTTGCTGCTGAGAGTGGCAAACCTAACCCAGCACTATCTGACATCCCCGACGCCAACACTGCGGAGGTCACTGCTGGAGCTGCTGACGACGGCATCTACAGCTCTGGCTCCCGATGAGGACGCATTCTTGCCACTGGTCAACTCGATCTGGCCTGTGGTGATTGACAGGCTGCATGATCCTGAAGCTTATATCGCGGTCGAGGCGTGCCACGCTCTGGCTGGGCTCTGCGCAGCAGCAGGAGACTTTCTCAGCTCTCGGTTCAAGACGGACTGGGCCGATTGGCTTCGGGGTTGGTGTCGCAAGGCTAAGCTTGAAGCTTCCGGGCGACCGGGGCAGACCAAACCCCGTGGGGAAGTTAGGATTACGCGGGGACGAGAGAGCGACGATAGCCGAATTGTGATGCCCCTGAGGAGCGGAGGCAGCTTCGGTGGCAACCCGCAGGCGGTGGCACCGTACTCTGGTGGTGACCTGGGGAGATTTGCATCGCCGGCGCGAGTGTGGGAGGCCACGATCGAGCTATTGACAGCAATAGTGTCGCACGTTCACGTGGATGAGGACATGTTTGACGACATTCTGGACCTACTGTCAGATGTTTTGGAGCGCAACGTCAGGGTGCGGGAGGCATTGGAGGCTGTCAACGGGGACGCGGTGTGGCTGGTACGATACGAGCGAGGGAATGTCGAGCCTCTACCAACACCTCAGATGGATGGCATTGTATTTGCTGCCATGGCAATAGCTCAGTAAAGGTAGAGACTGCAGTATCAAGGCTTTGGAATGATGATGCAAGCCGGCACACTCGTTGCCGGCCAAGGGACTTGGCCTTTCCGTGATTAGCTATCAGCAAAGCATGCTAGAGACGCCACCTGGCAACGAGTTTCCTAATTGGCACATTTACAGAGAAAGATTTACGTCAAGGTTTCAACGGGAACTAGTCTGCACGAGTTGGTTGGTGGTTTAAATGACATTCAGGCAGATATGCTTTGGCGTGATAACCTCGGTGTAGACATGCAGAAGTCTGCTGACAGCTCTGCGGGAGATTTGAGTATCTTTTAGCAGGCTGGAAGAAGTAGGTAAGATGCGAATCCATTCAGCCAGATATTTGGTATCTGTTTAGTTGATCCTGGTTTCTGGGCCTTTAGTAGTCGTTGACACACAGGCAAAGATAACTCATCTGAAGAAGCTCTTACAATGGCACCTATACTATACATTATAATACTGTACCTGCCCTAGGATAGGGGGAGGGATCTACGGAAAGTCAAGTCACATGCGACTATGCTTAACCTACCTAGGTGTGGCGAGGATGACACGAGTGTCAGTACAGTAAGAGAGAACTTACCACTCCCTTGGGCCAGCTACCGTCGCAATGCCCTAACGAAGCGAATCCCGACAAACTAGAGTAAAACAGCTGAAACCCGTACCCAGGATGGACATTTGCCAATCATGCCATGGAGCGTCTCTGGAATGGTCAGTCAGAACCGGCATCACCAATGCCGGTGGTACGATTCATTATGTCTCGCGCGGCTCGCGGGGCTAGCAGGCCATGCTAGGGGCGCCACCGGACAAACCGTCCAAGGGCTTTTTGGAGTACAGTAGCCGCGATGGCTTCTTCGTGGATCGAGAAGTTGAATAGTTCAACAGATTGATCCGATGACAGGACAAGCTTACGTGGGGAAAAAATAAAGAGGCCAAGGCCTAGATCTTGATGGTGGACGGTTCCGCAGTGGGAACATTGGCCAAACTTCTCCGCACCGACCAGACCATGGGGTCCTGAGCAGGCCTCATGGGTATGGGTCTCTATTCACACCTTCTTCAAGGGGCTAGCGTCGTGAGGCTATTAGTTGGAGTAGCACGTATCCCCCTCCGAAATGTATTGGATCCCCTCTGGTCTGACCCCTTTCCCTCTCGTCCATCTTACAGTACCCCAGATACGCGGTCGCATCATGACCGCAGAAGGGCAAACGATTTCGTAATGGAATCTCGAGTTTAACAGTCTCGACTCTGGGGGAGGATCCTCCTACAGATCGCTCCCCGGATTCTGGGTCCTCGTCGTGACCACTGCGCTCAGATGGTTGAATCTCCATTTCCCCAGAAAAGCCAAGAGATGGGTTTGGGAGGGGCTGAGCCTCACACGCGCGCCTGTTTGAACGTGAGGGGAAAAAAAGCAACCTGGTGAGGAGAAGAAGAGGAGAGCTACACAACACACATACACACACTTCGCTGCCGCCGCTGATATCAGTGGCATCGGCCAATCAAGGGGTCCCCGATGATATCAGCCATAGTGTTCGATACGCTCGTCTCATGGAAGAGATAGCACCCCTGTCTGGCGTCGCGACAGCTGAAGAGAAAACAAGAGGGAGGGGGGGGGATGCCTCCAACTCGGTTGGTGCAAGCCTAGATTTTGTCAATTAATCCACCCTGGCCATCCCACCGGAGGCTTGGTCGATTTTGGCTTGTTGGAGCGGAGAGGGATCCAATCAGAGGCATAGAGTAAAACAGGTCAGAGATGCAGTCTAGAAGCCTTCTAGCGTCGGTGACTAGCTCGAGGCTTGCTACCCTCCCTCACAAGAAAACACGAGACATGTGTGTGTGCCAAGTAGATTTGGCGTTGAGATGTGTCCTTGGCAATCGCCGAGACGGCTTCCCGAGATGCCAAGGTCTTGTCCTGCAAGGCACTTTACTTGGCATCGCGAGATGGCATCTTGGGATAACCAAACAGTCGGTTCCTCTCAACCAAAACATGGACTCTTTCAATTTGAAGTCCGTCTCGTGTTGATTGAACCGGGTTTAGAGGTCAAGACAAGGAATACACATCATCATGACCTTCCCAAAGCAGCCCAGCTTGCTTATCGTTTGTGGACATGGTGTATGAAGCCCGGAGGAGGGGGGGGAAAGAGGATCACATCCTTGGTGGCCCCATACCGGGCACCTAACGACATTGCTCCAGTCCAAAGATCCATGAATCTTTTGGACAAGGGCGGCCCAACGGAAAACAACCGAGAGGTTCTTTACGGTCAGTGGCTGCGGCGGCAGTTGAAAGAGGCGTGCCAACGTCGAGAGGCCAAGGAATGTTGCGTGACGAGGTGCATCAGCAGTGCATAAACAAAAATCCCCCAAAACAAGCAGAGTAAAGAAAAGAAAAGCCACAATGTGAAAATTCAGACTTGATTGTCCGAGTCATGATCATCATGGCATTCAATCTCCCTCTTTCAAACAAAGCAGACTCAAAAGAACAAGCGATAAGCGCCTCCAAGCCGAACCGGGCCGGTAAACACCCATGACACGACCGGCACGACGACTCTCTCGCTCTCGCCGAACAACTTGTTACAAGCTAGCAGGCTAAGCGCGACGGGCGGCACCGAGATAGGGGCAAACTAAAATGGGGAGGAACCAGTAGACTAGTAGAGGCAAACGAACGAACGGATGGTGGGTGGGAAAATCTTGTATCCACCCACGATACGCGGTGGGGGAGAGACAGAGGACGAGGCCTTGAGAATGGGGTCGCGACTCGACGCTTTGGTTGTGTCTCTAAACGGGGTCTAAGAATACCAAAAATGACATTGCAAGAATGTTCAAGGTCTATTCTATAGAATTATCCTCATCTTCATAATTTCCTCTTTAAAATCTGGGGTATCATCACATCCTTAAACCATGCCTTCTCAGCCTTTTCTGTCCACAACCCAAGCTTGCGCACCCTCTTTAGCCTCAAAGATAAACTCTCCGGGGCCAACGAGCAGGATAGGCAGCTGCTTTTCTCAACCCGGTTAGAGTCCCCGGGGCCTGACCCTGCACACCATCGCCCCAGGTGATGGGTCACCCTCCATCTTTTGGGGCCAACTCCCCGGCGCCACTCTAGACCAGGAGGGGAGGGGGAGCATCAGCATCTTGAACACGACCTTACAGGATATCACATAGAGACACCTTCTGGAACGGATACAAATAGACACCCTTCCTCCCCTCCGTTTCTGTTTTCGAAGGCCAAGAGCTTCATCACTCTCATCTCTACATCCCCTCTCTACCTTTTCTCACTTACACCATCAACATCATGTCTTCCACACCTCCCGCCGACTACGGCAAGGAAGCCGTCACCGACGTCCGATCTTCTCAGGATGTCGAGGCTGGTGAGACCACTCAGACTGGTTCTCTCCAGAGAGATCTCAAGAACCGCCACATGCAGATGATTGCCATCGGTATGACCTCAACTCCACCACCCCTGGAACTCAACAACTAACCAACAACAACAGGTGGCGCAATTGGTGCTGGTCTTTTCGTCGGTTCTGGTGGTGCCCTTCAGAAGGGTGGTCCTGCCTCTCTCGTCATCGGTTACATGATTATCGGTGTCATGCTTCTCTGCACCTGTTTGGCCCTCGCCGAGATGGCCGTCCTCTACCCCATCAACGGAGCCTTCTTCACCTACATCTGCCGATTCGTCGATCCTTCCTGGGGCTTCAGTATGGGTGTACAATACGCTCTTGCCTGGTTAACTGTCCTTCCTTTCGAGCTGATCGCTGCCTCCATCACCATCAAGTTCTGGAGAGAAGATATCAACATGGCAGTGTGGGTTTCAGTCTTCCTGGTCGCCCTCATCATCGTACAGATCTTCGGAGTCCGCGGCTACGGAGAAGTCGAATTCGTCCTCAGTATCATCAAGATCTGCGCCTGTGTTGGTTTCATCATCCTCGGTATTGTCATCAACTGCGGTGGTGCCGGCGACAAGGGATACATCGGCGCCAAGTACTGGCACGACCCCGGTGCTTTCACCACCTTCAAGGGTTTCTGCAGTGTTTTTGTCGTTGCCGCCTTCTCCTTCGGTGGTACTGAGATGGTTGGTCTGGCCGCTGCCGAGTCTGCCAACCCTCGCAAGTCCATCCCCATGGCTTCCAAGCAGGTCTTCTGGCGAATTGCCATCTTCTACATTCTGAACCTGTTCATCGTCGGTCTCATCCTTCCCGCCAACGACCCTCGTCTCATGGGAGCCAGCGGTGCCAACACCAAGGCCTCTCCTTTCGTTCTTGCTATCCAGGATGCCGGTATCAAGGTCCTCCCCAGCATCATGAACGCTGTCATCACCATCTCCGTCCTCAGTGTCGCCAACTCTTGCACTTTCGGCTCTACCCGAACCATCCAGGCCATGGCTGAGCGCAACATGGCCCCCTCCTTCTTCAAGTACATCGACTCCAAGGGCCGCCCCCTGTACTGTGTCCTCCTCCAGATCGCCTTCGGTCTCCTGGCCTACATTGGCGCTGCCCCCAGCGGTGGTGAGATCTTCGGCTGGCTCCTGGCTCTTACTGGTCTCGGCTTCCTGTTCGTCTGGGGCAGCATCTGCCTGGCCCACATCCGCATGCGCTCTGGTATGCGTGCTCAGGGCTTCAACATGGATCTCATCCCTTACAAGACCCCCTTCGGTGTCTTTGGCAGCTACTTCGGTCTTGGCCTCAACATCCTCGCCCTGGTCGCCTCCTTCTACACTGCCCTCTACCCTGCTTCCGGCGCCTCCCCCAACGCCGAGGCCTTCTTCAGCTCCTACCTCGCCTTCTTCACCGTCGCCCTCTTCTACTTTGGCTACAAGATCTTTACCCGCCAGTGGCGCATGTACATCCCCTCCTCCGAGATGGATCTGGCCACTGGTGCTGTCATGCTTGACGAGCCTGAGCCTAAGGAGCCCCTTGTCTGGTCCCAGCTGCCCAAGAGGGCCCTCCGAAACCTGTTCTAAGTGGTTTGATTGCGAATGAGATGGAGAGATACCCATATATGAAAGCGGAAGAAGTAACAATTGTACATTTTGGACTGTAATATCCTTCAACGTTTAATATCAGCGAGGCGGGTAGCGTTCTTAGCATATTCTGCAAATAGAAACAATACGCACGTGCAATTTCTTAAAATATCTCAAATGTTTCTGCCATGTGATGTGATTTCAACGGTTTTAGGTTTCCATTCATAGCTGAAGTGTCCACTACTTGTCATAAGCACTCAGGTGTTTTATGATGAGCTTTTCTACCCCTTGTCCTAGGGCCAAACCACCTGACTCTGCTCTGGAGAAGCCTACTCGGCTCCATCGAGGCAGGCCTTGAGAGCCTTCTGACGCGCCTTCTCAAGCGCGGCAATCCCATCGAGACATGCATTGTTGAGGGTAGAGATGGCCGCCTGGTAGGTACCGCAAACCTTGGTGAGCTCTTCCTCATGAGCCTTCTTGGTATCCTCCATCTCCTTTCGGTGGCCCTCGCGAATAGACTTGATGGTATCTTCAGCGTACTTCTGGACTTTCTTGAGCTCTGGCTCGTGAGACTTCCGCAACTCATCGACGGCATGCTGATGAATCTTGGTGTTGGATTCAGCCGCGGCGCGAACCGAAGCAAGCTGCTGTTCAATGTTGCCAAAGATCTTGGAAACATCTTCCGGCTTAGAAATGAGAGGCCCGTCCACCTGGTTCACTGGGCCAGTCTCAACGGGGGCTTCCTTGGCTGGGAGGTTGCGAGATCTCTTGGCAAGAGGGTACACGCTCTGTGTCGGCTCGGGGGTCCAGGCACGCTTAGAGAGCTCCGTAGCCTGTCTGAAGCACTCCCCCAGTCTCTTCTGCTTGATGAAGCGATTCTGCTGGAAAGCGTGGGTAGTCGTAGGCCCGCTGACATTGGGCTCCCACTTTGCAAGATCGGCCTGTGGGAACTTGATCTGGGCAACGGCGGCGTATCGAGAGTAGAAGAACTCCTTGGGGAAGAGGACCTTGTACGTGGTCACCTCTGCCCAAGTGTCGGGCTCAGGAAGGTCGGTCATGACCTTGACCTTGCCTTTGTAGACAATCTCAGTGATTCCAATCCATGCTTGCTTCTCCTTTCGCGACAGCTTCTCTGCTCCCCAGTCGAGCCAGTGCTGCTCCATTAGGCCGAGGAATAGTTCCTTGTTCAGGGTTTTCTTGTCGTCTTTGACTTCCCAGAGACCCATGTTGACTGGTGCTTGGGGGGTCAGACTCAATTCTCCTATAATCTGGATCAGTGCTGCTGAGCAAGGCCCCATGGGTCGATGTCCTACCCGTGAAGGATGGAGATTGTTGAGGTATTAGCTTATCTAGCTCCACTCGAGGCCTGCGAAGGAGATGGCAGAGGTGATTAGGTGGTCCAAATAGGTGGCTGAAGTGGCAAAGTCCTTGAGCGAGAGTTGAGACTTGCAGGTGGAAAGGGGTTGAAGGTTGCAAGTGATGAGAAGGGTTGAAGCTTCAACGGGATTGATCAAAGTTTATGATGATGGGAGAGCTGGCTGCAGAAGAAATAGATACCGGATGATAATTTGGTAGGGAATAGAAGACTTGAATGGCCCTGATTAAAGATGAAAGTCTGCGTAGGGATGATATATAATGTAGATGACTTCACTCTAGTATTGTCTAAGTGATGTACTACAACTGGCGTATAAGCGCCCGGGAAACTCCTTGATGTCTCAAGATACCAGTGCTTCATCTCGAATTTCTGCTCATATTCGGTAACCCTATTGCGACGAGTGCGAAAAAAGGTGAGTGACTGGCAAAACCCGCTCCTCTTTCGTCTCGCAATTTCACATATAGACCATGGTGTTGAGGTCTGTCAGACTGTCCAATAAAACCAACATGATGATGAAAATTGGTAAATTAAAGGCTTGTAGATAGCCTTGATAATAGATGAACTTTATTCGTCTCTTTAGAGTGCTCTTGTTGAAGATTCCCGGTGAGATTCCCGTGGTACCTGGGAGAGGGGCATTCCCACTTGAACAAAGTCGATGCCTCCCACCCTTAATTTCTGTCAAGATGTAACTATCAAGTACAACCTTCTTTTCCTTCTTACCAAAAGCCACACAATGTGCTCTTTATTTTATCTAATGGGACTCTCCTTTGGGACTTCTTCCTTGATGATCCAGGGAGAAGATATTTACCACGCCGATTTGGTCATTTGATATTAGTACATCCATGGCTTGTGTCTTATGGGATAAGTAATTGAAAGAACTCCATGAGAGCATTACTTTGGTTTAGATCTCTTTCTTGCAATTATGGATTACTATGATATTAAATGAGATCAGATGATCGTAAGAATTCGTGAAGGGTGGCCCTGTTAGAATGGACAATCTCTACCAAGGCGAGTATTTTCATTACCCATTGGCATGATCACTGCCTCTAAAGGATATTTTAATGCCTACGGGTAGCAATAAGCGCTGAATAAATCAGATTTGTAAAATTGTTGTAAATCGATTTGTACTGAAGCGAAAGTCTAGAAATACAGAAGCCCCGTCCAAAACCCCTGAATTCTCGAGTCCTCAATCTTGGCTTTTGCGCCTACACCCTTTGCGATTTTCCTCTCCAAGCCACCAGCTTCGGCTCCCAGAAGGCACAAATCACCACTTCATACTCAAGGCTCAACCTCTGAGTATCTCCGTTTTCTCCTGAAAACGATCCTTGGCGACGTCTTTGAGACCGCCTCGGGGGGTTGGAGACACTGCGCCAGCAGTTCGGAATCCTTATCGTCCAGGATCTGAGGCACGTAGACGTGGAAAACGATGAAGGCAATCAGCAGACTCTCTGGATCAATCTTGTTTACCGTAGCTGCCATTTCGGAAAACTTTTCGTCGTCCAGTCTTGTTTGCCAGGGGCGCTTCTCGGCCAAAGCCCGTCTCTGTTTCGCCTTGTCTGAGTCGAAGCAGAAGCTGGGAAGCAGAGTGTCGCCCATCTTTGGAAGCAATACCAGCCAGGTATCCACAATAGATGGACACTTTGGACTCACGCAGATGCTTGCATCAAGAATCTGTTGGATGATTTTGACCAAGGCCTCTCTGTCAGCCTCATCTCTGGGGCCCACGAACAATGGCTCCTGGGACCTCTGAACAGGCAAGCGCTCAGGAGTCAGTTTTGATTTCAAGTTCTCTGTCACCATCTTCCATAGTTTGGTGATCTCTGACGACACAATGTGTCGTTCGTTCCCGTGTTCATATCGCATCCAATGGACAATTTGGACTAGGGTGCCCCTAGAGACTCGATCTTCGAGGAGAATGACAAGACATCGTCCATGATCCAACCATCGCCGGAGGTCTTGAGATGCTAGCCGTGCAGAAATCTGTGATGAGTGGACAATTTTATGGTGTTCAGTCAAGTCTTGACTGGCTCGTAGAATCCAGGGTTGCCATAATGAGTTGTGTTGACGAGACCATAGCCAGAGCTTGTCCTTGACATCTCTTGGGAGAACGAGGAGGAACTTGTAAGTAAGCCACTCATTCAACGGCTCTCTGAGAGCGGCTTGGTCATGGTGCTCACTCCCAAGCTTCGCCAGCACCTCTTTTCCCTTCTCCATGGCTTCTTCTCGGCGAGTGATGGCGAGTCTCGGGACCATCTGCTCCTGAAGCCAACTCTGACGCGGGATTGTGGCTTTCAAGATGCGAAGATGAACGAAGAGTGAGAGGGTAACGGATTGCAACGGGTAGGCAGTGCATGGTAGCAGGCCGCTTAGGTCTGTCTTCTTCCCCTGTTGCATGGGGTGAACAATCGATCCACGTGGGAGTGTGGAGACGAATTGGCGTGCTGATGTTGCCCAAAGGTCGATGGCACATCCAACCCAGTCCCAGAGATTACTCTCGTTGAAAGTGTTGATGAGTGGGCTGTCCTTTTGAATTTGCATCCGGGGTAGGCTGAGCGCTGCTGCAGCTGCGACGGCCACGGGAGCATTGATCATCCAAAACTCAACTGGGTTAGCTGGCCTGGCTGCGAGCGCCACTGACCGCAGGGCAAACAGGCCAGCCAGGACGTACCGATGCTTCTCCCATTCCCTGAAGTTGGTAGCATGAATGACATCTGTATCCTTCACCATGTCAACACAGGCTTGGAAGCAGGTCGAGTGATCCGTTGGGTTTCTTCCAGCCGGCCTGAACACTTCGCAAACCATTTGGTTGATTATGGCTTCTATATCTGCCTCATGAAGATCATCGACCTCTATATTCCCTAGCATCTGGTCGAAACGCTGCTCTTCATCGTCGCTTGAGCCACTGGAAGACATGGTGGAGAGTCGCTGTCGTTGAAGAAACAACGCATTGATACCCGGGGCCTTTCAAACGGCCAGTTAGAGCCTTATTTCAAGAGTTCGAGCGGTATAAGATGGTGTTGAGAAGCTCACCTCGAGATCCTTCAGCATCCACTGAGCGACGTACTCCAGGTGGTCCTCGGTTCTCGTTTCATCAAGGCGGGCCCAGAGTCGGCAGGAGATGAGTTGAGGGACGACCCGCGGACAATACTCCACAGGCGAGAGGGGTGAGAGAGTGTCAGGACGGATATTGAACTCGAGTCGGATGGTGGATGGAACGAAGTGGCGTTGGTACGAATGGGAGGTGGAAATTGGCCCCAGAGCAGTTGGTGTTGCGGGAGGGGGAAGGAGGATTCAAGGAGGAGGGTAGGGTATGGTTGATGAGGGTTGAGGCTTTTGCTCTGAGTGATGGAAACGAAAAGAGAGACAAGGTCAAGAGTAGGTAAACATTTGTTAGATCTCCGTTTTACAGTGACATAACCGCCCAATTCGGGTGATTCTCAAAAATCTTGCCTCCTCGTACCTGCCTTGCGGCAGAAGGTACCCAACTGACCCTGTTGGGCTTTGTGAGTGAATCATGAACAATAGCAAACGACATCTACTACTCTGGTGAATGTTTTAATTCAGAGACAGTGCCCGGACAGGAGGTTTCTAGAACAGAGGATTACGCCGATGCAGCAGCTTGGGTGGTAACTAACACCTTAAACGCTCCCAGAGACACTGCCTGTGAATGAATGAACTTACCCGCAACTAAGTATTAGTTTCAGTAATACCTCTAACACTCTGAGAGACACTGTCTTATGAAATGAAGAATATTAATCTTTTATAATCCTTCTGTAAATATACTCTCTCGTAATTTCCTACGGGAATAAACATGGATCGCCGCCCTGTAAACGCGGCAGCATGTCCCTACATAGGACAAAAAGGTTTACCTGGCAAAAATTATCCCAAGGAACAAAAGACATAACATTGATAACCCTCCCATAGATCTTTCTTTCGCATGGTCATCCAGCCTACACACATCGGAATTGCTGAAAGCAGAGACAACAGATTCCACCGCCATGGTTTACGCCAAATATAACCTTGGCACGCGAAATAGAAAACAAAGCTGACCCTTCACACAGGTTCTACGCGGCGAGTGGTCTTGTAATATTTTACCTGCGTGTCTATTAACCTTCTGGGATGCTTCTTATACTACACCTAATGAATAGATAACGTCACGGCAGTCTTATACCTTACCCTGTTCCTATTACTCTCGCAAAGATAATGCGTCAGTATGACTAGGTCTGTCATAATCTTATGCTCTGAGTACTTCTTTTCAAGGCGAGATCTAGTGTTGGTCAAAGTATCTCACTGGGAAGGACGACATGGATATCCATTTTCGGCTGAGTTGTTAGATCAGGCTGTACAGTTGATATCCACACTGATGAGTCCTACGAGACGTTCTCCAAGTCAGACATCAACAAGATTATTCGAGAGCTACCCCGAGCTCCCAAGTTGAATAACCATTTGCCTAATCCATCAGAGCCCAAGACACTACCATGGGGGTGGCGAAGAAGAGCAGTGCCTTTAAGGGCGAGGCGAGCGTCTTTTGTCTCTCCAAATGCCCCCTTGTCTGAAAGTTATTATCAAGAACCTACTCAGCAGCAGGGGCCAAGACGCCAATCCTCGCCCTGAAGGCCCCATGGATATTAGAAGCGACAAGTATAGACTTACAGGTTCAGAGGAGGGGGTAGATGCTCCAACAAGGGGCAGTGAGGAGGAGGCTGGGTCTGGTAATGGTGGTGGCAGTAAAGAGGAGGACCTCAATTGCTCCCATCATGACAACAAGTATCACGAAGGAAATTATGAAGAGAGTGTGAAATTCAGCAAGTTAGTAGAGTAGGAAGCCCTTCCCAGTCTTGGTATTGGATGTCCTAAAAGTGTCCTGGTCTAATGGTGGTAGCAAAAGAGGAGAAGGTTGGTTCAGAAACTTAGGTTTCAGCGTGCTGATGAGCCTGGTGGGCCGAAAAGCCCATTCTCTCAAAGTGCCGACTTGTGAATGGATTTGCTGGTGTGTCTTATGCTGAGTAGCAATCAGGTTTAGGGTACAGGCGGCAGTGATCCAGTGGCCCTTATCCTTAAGAATCTTTAAGGTCGCCTTCTTTTATCTTGCCCTGTCGTGTCTCGCGGGAATTTATTGAACAAGGCTCGTCCCAATGTGTTTCCCCTGCGGTCACTGATCTTTCCACCACCCAAGATCACCAAAGGGGTCCTAGTGGTAACTTCTCACAACTCTCTAGCTCCAACTGTCATCTTGGTCTCTCCATGTCCTTCCCGCGCTCGTCGTAGGGAGTCTCTCGTTCGTCCTCCAAGGTACTTGCATTTCATGTTTCAGATCCCGTTGCCCACATGGCCGAAGAGGAGGCCAAGTGCCATCGCTGTGTGGTGGTGACTCGTCAGGAACAATAGCAAGGCTTCTACGACCATCCATCAAACCTCACCATCGACCGGGGCATTGAGGATACACTGGGGGCGCCTGCGTGTGGGGCTCAGGAGGGCTGGCTGTTCCCACATTCATTACATGGGAAGGACAAGCTAGAGAAGCATCTCCAGACAGGCAAGATGCAGGCAATTACCTATTTCCAATATTCAAGTCAAGGTAACCGAATCACGCTTGTTGACGAGGAGCTCTGCGAACCCATGACGGGAGTGCCCGCGCCAAGAAGTACCGCGACCGTATCATTCGACGTGCTGCCCTTCGGTCGGTGATGAGAGAGCTCGCAGATGAGCAATCGAAGAACCTGACGGTCGATGAGACAACGTTGCGGTTGGAGCAGCTGCAATCAATGAGCCGTGAGTTCAACCCCCGAAAGGAACGAGTCTGTGCTGACGACAGGTTGATGATTCTTACCTAAAATACTACGATAATTATCCTTTGTTTTACTCATTCTTAGATTATTTTAACATAAAGTGATAGAGAGATACCCATAAGAGTTCACTAAGCATAGCCTGTCTTTCTGCCAAACGCTCAGTGGATGCGTGCCAACCATCTACTCCAGTACGCATAAGTCATGCTTCAACGCTTCTATATTCCCTTCCTATTCTATGTATCTATGAAGACTCGCTCCTAGATCTTGGGAGCCGCGCTCAAAAAACCCTCAACAACAGCAGTAATCAACCGGTTGGCAATAGCCTGGATAGGTGGCAGTCTAAGATCTCCCTCCTTGTATCCCTCAGGGGCAGCCTCTCCCAAGGGACTCGTCCCCGTCTCAAGAGCTTTGCGGACCTCCTCGATCTCAAACCACTTTGCCACCTCCAGTTCCTTGTCGTTCAGGGTAATCTTCTCGCCCTCTCCGGGAAGCGCCTGAGCAATGGCACCGATCATCAGACTCGCGGGGTACGGCCACGGCTGACTCGAGTGAATAACAACCCGTCCAACACGAACACCACTCTCCTCCCAAACCTCTCGGCGCACAGATTCCTCGATAGATTCACCAGGCTCGAGGAAACCAGCAAGAGTGCTATACCAGTAAGGGGGCCAACGCTTCTGGCGTCCAAGCAAGAGTCGTTTACCGTCTGCGGAGACAACGGCAGCGATCATGGTGGGATCGGTTCTGGGGAAGCAAACGTTGGAGACGCCGTGGCGTGTGGGACAGTCAGCTCGAGGCTCCCCGCTGTCGCCGCCCTTGCGGTCCGTTGAGGGGCAGACTCGCTTGTAACCAGCATGAACAGAGAGGTTTGGCTGTCCACAGCCGGCGCAGAAGGGGTTCCGGGCGTTCCAGTCAACAATAGACCTTGCCTGGGCGTACAGGGCGGCTGCAGGAACGTTAACAACTGTGTAATACACAGGGTAATCGGAGGTGGCTTACCAGCGTCGGGGTTATGGGACATTGCACGGGGGTTCTTGTCAAGCGAGAGACCCTTGCCCTCCTTGTCCGCCAAGAAGCTCGTCGCCTTTTCGGCATGGGTTCCCTTGGGGGTGATGTCAACAGCAAAGTAAGGGTGGCCCTTGATATCACCGTGATCTCCGGAAGCGATATGATCAGTCTCATTTTCTCCTTCTAACATGCCAAGGAATACGATAAGAGGCTTGGTCTGAGCCGAGTCGAACGCTTGAATAGCCTCATCCTCAGTGAGACCAAACGGGTCCGGGCCGACCAGCGACTGAACCTCGTCAAATGTGAGATATGCGAGCTTCTTCTTGTCCACGACAAGAGGGTTCAGGTCGTTGAGAGCCAAGTACCGGGCGGTGGGGCTCACGGCAGCCTTCCGCAGGAACGCAGCATCAGCGCGGAGGAATGAATAGCGGTTGATGCGGCCACCGGCATAGTAGTTGACAACCTCTTTTCCGAAGCGGCGAGTCAGCATCGAGTCGTCGTCTTGGAGAGCTGCAATGATGGGCAGCTCGGACAGCGGGGCGTCTGCTGGCATTGGACGTGGGATAGATGGCTTGCGCGGAGGCGCTGGGATGGATTTGTAATGCGTGTAACGTAAAGGTGTTGATAGTTGGAGGTGCCCAGTGAGAGTTGTGTGAAGGGTAAAGTTGTGAATGAATATCGACACTCAACTTGAGTCTATCTTTCAACGCGGGCAATGACTTTGTGATGGTGTTTGCAGCAAAAGAGGCGAGATTTTAAAAACGGTCGTCGGATTGTACTCCGAAGTACCCGTACTCAAATCTAGGGTCCGCTCGTTGTTTGGGATCCATTGTGGGCCAGCGGTGAGGGGAGGTTACAGCTCCGTACCTACCTGTTGCTTACAGACAACCCAACCCACGTTGCGTTGCGGCGAAAGCGGGATGAATTGCGGAGCGGGATGAAGCTTGAGTGATGAGTCAGTTTCTTGATATGGTCTGCATCGTGATTGGTTTCTTTGTTGCTTTTGTTCCATCCAGAGTTGGAGGCTGTAACAGTCTTGTAAGCCGGGGAACCTGAAGCCCTGGGTGATCGTCATGATGCCGTCCAATTGCCTCATTCACATTGTTTGATCTCACAAGCGTTGTTTTCAACACAGCCAACAAGTCTCAGGTTGAATGCAAAGAAATTGCTTGCCCAGCTTTGGGTTTGCTTCCCTTGTCAATCTATTCAACAGCTTCAATTGGTCAAACTGATAACTCAAGCCTTCCTGGGACAGCATGGATGCATTGGCCGTTCAAAGGCCCCAAGACGGACAGGCCCAGATCTGCATCTCCCGCCCGCCGGGCCACTCCGCGGTGCCCCGGGCACACCGAGGTCCCCTGGAAAAAATCCTTCTTCAGCACATGCTCCAGGCGAGTCGGCCAAGTCCAGGGCATGTCGCTAGTGCATGCTTCCCCCGCATTCTTTCCAGGTGCGGTGACGTCTGCGCCGCTACCTTGGAACTATATTTGGTGGCACGTGGACCATCCATTTTCTGGAAGGAGGCTCCTGCTGTGTCGCGACTGGAGAAAAAAAAAATTTGGCACCTGCACCCGCAAACGAACGTGCGTGCGTGCGATTGTGGAAAAAGTCTTTCATTCTCTTTCCGAGTCACACCCCCCAAACATTTCTTCTCTCCCTTTAAAACCTACTTCGACGTCAACTTCAACTACGCCTTACATCGGTTGGATCTTTTTTGAGCTGCGAATGCACTGGGACGACAGAGTACGATAGCAAACGACCTCATCGATCGGCCCGGCTGGACGTGTTTGCTGCAAGCTAGGGTGCCGCTGCAGCTGCAGAGCTCTGCGATCCTTCGCCCAGGGTTATCATGACTTGGTTCAGCACCATGACGCCTCCCACTCAGATCCTCAACCTCGATGTTGAAGCCATCTCGGGCATTTGTGGGTTAGTATATTCCGTCCTTTTGTTCTCAATCGATGCAGTAGCTGACTCGGCCTTCTCTGCAGCTCCATCTCCATCGCCTGTTGGGGTAAGTCTTGCGCCTCCCTTCATACCATCTCGAGCAAAGCTGACTCCCTCGCCCAGTTGTTGTCTTCTCTCCCCAAATCATCCAGAATTTCCAACGTAGCAGCGCCGATGCCCTTTCCATTCAATTCATCATCGTCTGGCTACTTGGCGATGTCTTCAATATTCTTGGTGCTGTCCTGCAGGGCGTCTTGCCGACCATGGTACGATTTCGCGTTTTTTGCCCCCTCACCCAAACGCCAATTGCTCACCCATCTGCTCTCTAGATCATTCTCGCCATCTACTATACGATCGCCGATCTCGTCCTCCTCGGCCAGTGCTTTTACTATCGCGGATTCACCTGGCGCGACCCTCCGGCCCACACTCCGAAACCGGCCAACCCAGCCCCGGGCGAACCCAATGAGCGCACTGGTCTACTGTCAAACGGGTATCATCACCACGAGCGCCGAGGCTCAGACTGGTCGGGCCTGTCTCCAGCTGTTCCGCATATCGCTGAAGATGCCACTCCGCAAGAACCCACTGTCCTTCAAACCCTGGTCTGGAATTCCATCATCGTCATGATGGTCATCGCAGCCGGCATTCTTGGTTGGTTCCTCGGCCAAAAGGCCTCTGGCGACAAGGACAATACTGGTGGCGAAAAACAGGACTCTTTGGAGTTCAATCTTCTTGGTCAGATCTTTGGATATCTCTGCACTGTCGCCTATATCGCTTCTCGCCTTCCTCAGCTCATCCTCAACTGGCGGCGCAAGACGACTGATGGGCTTAGCATGCTCTTCTTCCTCTTTGCCTGCCTCGGAAACATCACCTACGTCCTCTCCATCTTCGCCTACGAGCCCAAGTGCAAGCACGAACACTGCAAGCCCGGCGAGGCCAGCCACATTTATGGACGATACATCCTTGTCAACCTCAGCTGGCTCGCTGGCAGCCTTGTCACTCTGTTCCTCGATCTCGGCGTCTTTGCCCAGTACTTCATGTACAGCAACCCCGAGAGTAATAGCATTGATGGTCGCCAAAGGCGCAACAACCCCATTGAAGACGAAGAAGAGTACGACGACGATCAGAGCATTGACGAGGATCGCTGGGACCAACGCCCATTGCTTCAGAGGGGCGACTCTGTCTACCCCTGATTCTTATCACACTCTGAAGTCTACGCCTCAGACGGCAGTTTCTTGTTTTGCTTCTACTTTCTTTTTGTTATCATCTCTTTCTCTTAAACGTTTCTAGGGTATGTAAAGAACGGGAATATGAAAGGCGTTCGCTACCGCGAGGTAAAATAAAAACGGGAAAATCTGCGCCGAGTTTGGGTTTGGTTACTCGGAGGAGTTTGCAAGATGCGTATTGCTTTCTGAAAATCATTAGTCATAGGTTAGAGTTCATTATAGGTACGAAAAAGAAGATACCGATTATTGCGCATGGAAAGATGTTTGGTCATGGTGCTGCTTTGAGGTTGATGCAGAAGATGAAAGAAACATGTGAAGTTGGTGTGATTCTTGGCTTGGTCGATAGAGTCAGGAGGACAAGCACAAGCATCATTATTGAAGATGTAGCAAAGGCACATGTACTTAATCATCCATTGGGGTGCCGTGGATCCTGTATGATACATGGGAATAGAAGTTCGTGGATGTTTAGAATGAGACAAAAAAGCCTTCACGAAAGGAAAATACATAAAGAGACTTCAGAAGAACTAGGCTTCGAATTAGATCAGTTTGTATTTTATTTTATTTTATTTTATGACCCTTGTTAGACGACGAAGGACAGAAGAATGAGTGAACTCCAACCAAGGCCAATGGCCGGTCCAAAGGGCAGTTACCAGGGGACTGGGGCACCAAACAAGCACAAAGGGCATCTCAAGACGTCCTCTAGCTCTTTATCATGGTTTGCTTTATGCGATGAGCTCACAACACCACCCTGGACAGGTCATGATGTCCCGGCCCGAGCCGAGGGGGTAGTCCAACCAAGGTGCAAAAGAGAACCACACTACAAAAAGATATCACATCTTAAAGCATAAACATACAACAGCGGGGATTCGCTGGTCGTCACCGACCCAACTACTAATCCGCCCCTCACCGGCTTATCTATGGGAGAGCGGACGGGATCCCGAGTTCTCCGGTGGGTATGGTCGTATGTGCTAGACTTCAGTTTCACTTAGGCATATATTCGCGATGAGAGCATAGAGACGCGCCTCTATGGACATGAGGTGGACTCTGCCAAGAAATTGACCGATTTATGGACTTGCTAGCGCTCAATTTCAATTCGTCAAGTCACCCTTGCAGAGTTTCGACTTCCTCCTCGAGGTAGTCAAGGGCCAGGAAATGGCATCTGTGGACTTGTCGGTTCGCCGCAAGATGCCCACCCGCTGGAGCGAGTAACAACACAGCACCAAACGAGAAATCAACGTAAATCATGCCAAACATTTGCTTCTTCCTTCTTGTGTTGGTCATGGCATACAGTCGACGGCATATGTTTGGGTGGAGAGCCTCATGGAAGCGAGACAAGCATCAAGTGAAGAATCCTCATTCACATGAAGCTAACAGCCTCAAGATAAGCCATGGCCCATAATGCGGAGCCAAAGCCCCGTTCAATCTCAATGCTCTGACGAGGCGGACTAGCAGTTCATGTGTTTCTTCTCGTTGATGAAGGGTTTTCTCTTTATGCTGATGTGGTACCCTAGAGGACTGAGATAACTGTCTACAAAGCCGACATAATGGGCCAATATTGGACTCTGTGTGGAAATACATGCTTCAGTCATGGTTATTCTTCAAGCTTGAGTATGTATACATGTCAATTGGTCATCGTTCTGGCCTTTTTCTTGACTGCTGGTTTCTACGTATCACGACGCAGCAAAGCAAGAATTCTTGGACGAGATGTACAGGATCCCGTCTCACAGTTCTCATTACTCAATCTAAACAAACAGTATCCAGAAAATTGGATCCTTACTCCGTAATGAAAATCCATATCCACCAACAGGAGAAAACTCTGCTTGCGACGTCGTAACTCGAACCCTCACAGTGGAGGTCCAATCTCTCTTGGAGGAGGTTGGGAGGGCTCGACGGCTTACATAACCCACCCCACCAAAAACGCACTAGCGCATTTTTGGCCCAGGAGCCTCAGCTATAAAATCTCTTCCTCCCGACGACCTTTCCTGGTTTTCTTTTCTCTTCAGTCATCATTGGGGTAATACTTCACCGTCATGTGAAATATTACTTTAATACGGCGGCTCCGCGCAAGCGGCTTGCTGTGGGTTAGTGTCTCTCCTCAGTCTCTCTCCCACCGTTCCCGGCCACCAAGAAGAAATGTGAACACTCTTTCCTATTCAGCCGCAGGAGACCTCTAAGGTACTGTGACTGTGGGGTGGTCTCGACATACCATATCTCCAGATTTGGTTTCTACGTAGATTGTAATGTCGCGAAGAACGACACTCCTTTCTCTGCTTCGTGATTATTTCAACGGTTATCCTGTCGACGTTTGACGCGACATGGAAAATTCACCAACCATCGTGGGGCGCTAGAATTTTCTTGTGCCAAGCCCGCGGCTAGGTTGCGCATGAAGCCTTGGTCACGACCAGAATGCTTGCTCGACTTGTTCCTCAACTCATCGTTCATCGAGCTCGATTGCGGCGATCCTGTAATATTGCGTCTTTGCTGCCGGACCTCATATCGGACCTCAAGTCTTTGAGCGACGTCGGAGAACCCTGATGCTGCGCTCTGGCTGTCCAGGTGCTTCTCTGGAGAGCACAGACAACGAGAGGCGCTTGGAGGCTCACGTCGTTGGCGGCACCATAGCCTAGCGTCATGAATCCAAGCAGAAATTTTACCCGTCCTCAGGTCAAATCCATTTACACGCTCCGTGATTCGAACCGCGCATCTACGGACCATGAACCCCCGACCATCTCCGTGATCTGATATCTCGGGTCAATGGCCCAAGCCCGCCGTAGTCACGTGAAGTTAAAGAAGGTCGGGGAATCCGGCGGCGTGCACGGACCAACTGGGCGGGTGGCTCCCAAAATTTTCTGAGCCGGCATCATTGAGGAGGGACTCCCCCGAGCTTCGGATAAGAAACCTTGCGACTCTTCAACGCCCGCCGATTGTGCCCCCTCCAATTCTCCATCGCACGCGCCGTGTCCTCGCATCCCCGATCCTCCATCCGCAGTCATGGCTTCTCTCTGGAACGCCTTCACGGGCGGCAACAAGCCTCCTCACTCTCAGCAGCAACAGCAGCAGCACCAGCCTCAGACGACACAAGAACCCGCGCATCTCTCCTTCGATCCCACCGAGGGACAAGGCGTCGAGTCATTTTTGCAGAGCTCTGCCTTTGCCGACCCCTCACAACTACACCCTCTCGCCGGCCTCAACAGAGACACCCTCGAATACATCTCCCTCGAAGACTCAGCCCTGTCCGAACTGCCCGGTGGCCAATCAGTTCTGCCCTCGCGCGGCTTCACAGACGACCTGTGTTACGGTACCGGCGTCACATACCTGGCTGGTCTGGGTATTGGAGGTGCTTGGGGTCTGCAGGAGGGTCTCAGGAGGTCACCCGGTCAGCCTCCTAAGTTGCGATTGAACGCTGTTCTCAACTCGGTCACTAGGCGGGGTCCTTTCTTGGGTAACTCGCTTGGTGTTGTCGCCATTATCTACAACTGTATCAACTCCCTGATTGGTAGCCTGCGCGGAAAGCACGACGCCGGCAACACTGTCCTGGCTGGTGCGCTGAGTGGTATGCTCTTCAAGAGCACTCGTGGTATTCGACCTATGATGATCTCTGGTGGTATTGTGGCTTCTGTCGCCGCTGGTTGGGCTGTAAGTACAACGCTGGAACCATTGCTTGGCGTCTCGTTTCTAATGATCATCTAGGTTGTGCGACGAAGCTTCTTCCCCATCCCAGAGCCTATTCCCGCACCCACCGAGGAGCTGACTCTGTAATTACGTTATGACATCTTTATTTGCCGCTGGCGCCGGGCCGGTTTGACGGTTAGTTCTAATTGCGGACACGCGGATGGGAGGAAAGAAATCCATCTATTGGAAAAAGGGAGAGGAGGCCGCGGGCCGGAGACGGGACACGGGGCAGCGTTTCCCTTGTATATGCTGGGGATACAGCGTTGGGTGGAGTTTGGTAGCATGGTTAACGGACATCTCTCCTCCCATGGGTTTAACAACTGTACATTACATGAGGTTCGGTCAGCGAGCATTAGACCAACGGGGGCTGGCGTCTGGTCCTTGATGAAAAGAATGGATGGTTTCAACGTTTTACATGACACACCCTGCATGGACTTCGGTAGTAGAGCATGAGGCCGGTTAGTGGAATTGAGAAGCAAACGGATTGATGCAGTCATCCAATAACACTTCATGCACGGAGTGAGGAGCGCACTCAGGGCACCAACTTAAACATCTATGTCTGGCTAAGGCTACCATCTATCCTAATCAAAACATATAAGTATATCTTGCTAACTTTTTTATAATCTTAGAAGAAAAGAGGCAATAAAGTTATACTTAAGACTTAAAAAAAAGTATTTCCTTCCTTCTCTTTTTAAACTTCTTAAACAAAAGATATATAAAATAGACATGCCCATTATCAGACAGGCCCCTAAACTTAGGCAGATACCCTTCAGGAATTCACTCAAGCGCGTTTGGAGCTGCTCGGGCCGTGACAGTGCGTTGGCAGTGCGATTCCACACCTGCCTCCTGCCGTGATAGTGACTGCAGCGTTTGTTTGTCTGCCGTTTGCCATCCCAACAAGTTCAAAAAGCATCGCCTTCACCCTTTATTCCTATTAAGTAGCAATCGCGCTATTGCCGCCTCTTTCTCTGTCAATTTATTGAAACGAACTGGACGCTGTCGATACCCCTATCCGCTTACACCACCAACATGGATACAAACGACAAGACGACCAACGCAGGATCGCGCTCGAACAAGTTTCGACCTCCTGATGCAGCCCCTGGCCCAACTCGTGCAGATCGAGGTTCTACTTCACGGAAGGCTCGAAAGACTCGGCCGTCGGATGCTGTTGATACTGAGACTACACCCACAAATGCAGATACACCGAACCCACCACCCACGAAGGACTCGAAACGACCACAGAAAGCGCCCAAGACAGGAGACCAACAAACTCCGAAAGGTGGTAGCAGCAACAACAACAGCAGCGTCAACGTCAAAAAGCTCGCCGAAGAGATGATCCTGTATCGCCTGGACCACTGGAGAGCGAGGGCCGCGGTCGTTTACACCACCGGTCAGAGAGATGCAACTCCCCTCTGGAGCCCCCAATGGGCAGGCGTTGTCCCCCAACAAAAAGGCTGTAGCTTGTTTGATGGGTTTGACCGCACCTGGTTCATCCCCTTTGATGTCGCCACGCCGCTTCCAGAGGACAAGCAACACATTGCGGACGATCTCGAACGACGGGGCAAGGAAATGAAGGAGATTTTCGAGTCCAAGAGAGAGTATATCCTACCTCGGCTGCAGGTTGTCCTGGAACAGGAGATCAAGACCAAGTGTCAAAACCAGTGGGATCAGAACTGGGATAAGAAGGACTTGCCGCCGATGGAATGGTCTGACGTAAGGCACAAGTACGGCATCACGGAACAAGTCAATCTGGTGGCCAAAGGTCGTTTGGCCGATGGAAGAGCACTACTGCCAGGGTACTATACAGTCATCGTCCTCGACCTTGCCGTCGACGGCAAAATGCTTTTTCAACGAGTCAATATGCCGCCCGACATCACTCTACAGGGCTTTCTATCACGACTCGAAAGCTGGTCTGTCTCCAAAAGCGAGGACGATGGGCGTCTTTTAGACTTGGTACGCACCAAGCTGGAGAGGGTCTTGCTGCGCGGTACTACGGCGGCGATACAGAAGGCTCAAAACTTGCTCGACCAACTGAACAAACCTGCCTTCAAGGTGGATTGCGAAGGAAGCGAGATGGATACTTGGGTCTTCAAATTGAATCACAACGTCAACTACTACATCCGTCCAGCGCAGGGGCCGGCCGATATCAGGCGCTGGAAAGGGCTCAAAGAGGCGTCCTTTGACGAATTCGTCCAGGGGGTTCGTGCAGGAAAGCATCCAGTTGTTGTCCGAGTGAGTCTAGACCTCTTGCAAACGATCCTGTTTGTGGCTGTCTATTGTATCTGTGCTAACATGTGTACAGCCCTGGAAGATTCGACTACGACGCATGTGGCCCGACATCGACGAACTTGACGATGGACTCCCGCCTGAAACCGCTCCTGGCGAACCAGAATTGTCGTTGGAGCAGCTTGACCTCGTCGATGAGCTCCTAGCGCAGCATAGCGATCAAGAAAGGCAGCAAGGGAGGCGGTTTATCCAGGCATTAGAAAGGGTCCGGAAGCCATTGGAATGAACAGATGTCGGACATGAATAGGGGGAACTGGACATTGTCGAGATCAGGACGGCATCGAGCCTCCCGCCTAAGGACGACGAAGCGACCTTTAAACGTGAAGAAATTGAAGGAAGCCAGAAAGGTGGGAGAGGGGAATGGGTTTGATTGTGCGGGACTGTTTGGGAGAGGTTGGACGTCGCCGTGTGCCAGTGTAGAACTGGTTGTCGAATGTAGAGGGTCTGTGATGGATGTCGGGCAACTTTTCATGTTGAAAACACAACAAGTTAATCATTGTTAGATGTATTACTCTTGAAAGAGGTTTTGGTACTCCTGGGGATAATTTGGTTGGTGCCAATAGACACTGACGACCCGTTTCTCCTCTGCTCGGGATCGGACCGCCAAGGTTCACACTCCATCTTTTCAACTTCAATTTCCACAGCAGCGCTTCAGAGAGACGCGACGACATTTGCAATTACCGCAGGCCAACCGATTCTAGAACATCCTCGAAAATGTGCCTTCCTTGCTTTCCGTGGACTTGGACCAAATACGAGGATCCCTACGACAACCTGGCCAACGCTCCGGAGCAGTCGGTCTGGGTGCACGACGGACAGAGCTGGGAGCTACAGAAAGTGGTGAGCATGAGTTTTTTTTCTTCTTTTACTGCAATGTTTTGTTGTTATTCACTTGCCATTTGTTTATTATTGCGGCTTGTGGGAGTTGCCTCGGTGAATGCTGGAGCGCTTCCGTGATGGATCCATTGCAAATGTGAACTGTGCCGGCTGGCTGCCAGCTGTGAAGCAGTGAAGAATACATTACAAGGCCTGCTTTTCCTAGCGAAAGCACAGTTGTTTTTCTCTCGGACTCGATTTGAGTGGCACTTGGACGGCCAAGAGCACTCGAGTCCCTTGGCCTTCTCTCGAGTTTGACCCCTGAGGCATTGGAACCCGAAAACTTTCTCTCCTCCTACATCGCGGCCTCGAGGCTACAATTTCGAGCCTCACGAGGGGCCTGATTCACGGCCTTTGCCAACGACAAAGATCCACCTTCTCCGAAGAGACTCGAGCATAAGAGAGTGCAACCATGGCCGCGGCAGGCACCAACGACACCAAATCTCCAAAGGCACCTCCTCGCCGACCTCCAAAGACCCCCGAAGCTCGCCAGGTGCACTTTGAGACTCCGGGAATCCTCAAGGGTCAAAACATCACGGGATACACGACTGCTAGTTCGCCCAGCGGAGGATTCAACGCCAACACTGTCACCGGTTCTTCCAAGGCAGCGCCGCCCAAGACTCCTCCTGCAGTCACGGCGAGCGAAGATAACCAGCCCACGAGCTTCCCTGCGCTCGGTGTCGCGGCCAACAGCCAGCTGCAGTGGCATACAAGTGCCAACCCTACGCAGAGCCTCCGCCACCAGCTGCCGACCGGTCCCGGTGGTTTCATCTCCCCTCCCCCTCAGCAGGCGGCAGCGTATTTTTCTCTCCCTCAGCAACATCATCCTCAAATTCATCCCGCATCCTACATCAACACGCCCGCAGGCCACAACACAGTCACCTACATCGGCGTCGGACCCCCAAGCAGCAACACCATGGGCGATTATCAGAATGCCGCTCCGCCTACCAACGGCGTCCACTTCCAGCCTCCCGTCCCCGACACCACGTTCGGGCCCATGCAGCATGTTTACGTGCCTCGCTTTGATGGGGGACTCGCTGGTGTTCAAGTCGGTCTTCCTGCTCCTGCTTCTGCTCTTGCCTCTGTTCCTGTTCCCGTTCCCATTCCTGCTCATTTTGTTTCTGCCCCCGCCCCCATCACCACCGCTGCATGCACTACCGTGGTGCTGCCAAAGACGTTTTATCTGAATGGCTACACCTATTATGCAAGTGGTCTTGTTGAATCTTCCCCTCATTGTTGCTCTTTGGATCAAGTGGTTCACCCAGCATCGCCAAGTGGTCTAGCAGTCCGCGCTTCTCTTTCTCTTCGCTTGGCAGTCTTGATCAACACTTGCTAACGTCTCTACAGCAGCCAGTCGTTGGTGCCATGGCTCCCCAGCCTGGTATCCATGCTAGCTATGTCGTTCATCAGCAGCCCTACCTCGTCCAGCAGCCGGCCATGGGTCAGCAGCAGCCTGTCCTCATGCATGCTCCTCAGCAGCACTATGTGCCCCAGGTTCAGCACGTCGCAGGCGCTGTCCCAGCGGTCGGCATGGCGGGTGGGGTTGCTGCCATGCACGGCGCAGTCCCCATCATTGCAGGTAATTCTGGCCACATCCCCGATGTCACTGGTATCGGCCGCACTGCTGGCGAGGAGCAGCTCCGCCAGATCCAGTTCGCGCACGAGAACAGGCTCTACGAGCCCCAGGACTTCAAGCCCGCTGATGATGACCCTTCCCGTTTCTACTATGTTCGTGAAGTTGACGGGAACTGGACCCAGCGCAACCGATTTACCATTGATCACATGGGTGATTGCCGCTGGTACGTGACCGACGAGGGTTGGTTCTATGCCGTTCGCCTGCCTAGCTAGATGGCAAACCCTGTGAGTATCCGTGTTGTGCTGGTGGTGGCATGGAGCTGATGCCAATCGCAGACGTACCCGATACGAAGGACCGTCCCTACTGGCGCGCACCTATAGAATATCTGTGAGGTTCACAACTCCGGTGTCGAGGGTTTGTGCTGACTCTGGCCAGTCGACTCTCGTTCGGCATATACCTGATGGAGCAGCCTTATTCACGGTTGATACTCGTTCTTTTTGGTGTCTCTCAAGTATGTGGACTCGACCTTTGTCATGCAACAGCAACTGACCTTTGCTGACAGAAACCCTACCTATTTGCATTCAAAGACCCTTGTCTCGGCTATCCTCAACTTCGATCGGATCCTACCTGGAAGACGTACTCATCCACACTCGTGGTTGAAATGAAGCATGAGGGATGCTGGACTTGAGGTCAATGGTTCTGAGATAGTGGCATGGGATTGTGGAAGGACCTTGATTGTTGAGATAGGTGGACATGGAACTTGCATCGCATCGCCTCTTGCGCGATGATGTCTCTGAGATGAAAACTTTTTGGAATACTGCACTTATTGTGCTGTATTAATCCTACCGTTATGACCCTAATCGGATTCCCCGATATCATGGATCTAAGTTGCTATGTTAACGATGCAATTGCCCAAGTCACATTCATCACATGTCGTCGGATGCGGCATGCAACCTTGAGGTTAAAATTTTCGACCAAAATAAAGTCCACATTAAGACGTAAAATTGTGTGAAAAATGAAGCATTATTTATGTCTACCAATCTTGATTACGTGCTTCGAATACCCCAGCCACTTCCCCAGCTTTTTGTTCGAGCTTGGCGTTCTCAAGCTGTTACAGCCTCGGTAATTGCATCATCCCACCAGTGGCTATCAGATCATCATTCAACCTCACTTCATCCGCAGTGTCTATTTCATTTCATCTTTAACTCAATCAATTGGCAGATACCCGAAACCATGCTTCTCATTGGCCTCACAGGCTCGATTGCCACCGGCAAATCGACAGTCTCATCGATACTGGCTGGTGAGCCGTTCAAGCTCCCAACCGTGGATGCCGACATCCTGGCACGCAAGGTCGTGGAACCCGGTACTCGCGGATACAATGCCATCGTGAAGCACTTTGGACCTACAACACCTGATCTCCTGGTTGAGCCTTCGGAGGACATGCCCGAGAATGGCCCCGATGGCAAGGGCAGACCACTGAACAGACCGGCCCTGGGACGCCGCGTGTTTGGCGACACCGAGGAGCGCAAGAAGGACAGGGCAGTTCTTAATGGGATCGTGCACCCAGCTGTGCGGTGGGAGATGTTCAAGATGGTTGTCGGGTGTTACTTCCGGGGTCATTGGGCGGTTGTGCTCGACATCCCCCTCCTCTTCGAGAGTGGCCTCGATAGGTTCTGCGGCGTGGCTGCTGTCGTGGCAGTCCGTGACCCAGCCATCCAAATGCAACGACTACGCGCACGCGACCCGCATCTCAGCGCTGAAGATGCAGAGAACCGGGTTCGCAGCCAGACCGACGTGAGAGAGAAGGCCCGCCGGTGCGAGGAGCGAGGAGAAGGCAAGGGTGTGGTTCTCTGGAACGACGGGACGAAAGAGGAGCTGAGGGAGCAGCTGGACAAGGCGATTGGGTCGCTGAGGAGGACGAGTCCGGATTGGTGGTCATGGTTCCTGCTTGGCTGTCCTCCGCTGGCTGTTGCTGTTGCGGCGTGGAGGTTTTGGCAGAATATTATTATTAATGAGGAGTGGGAGGAGAAGAAGTTGAAGCACAAGTTGTGAATGATGGTTCTCAGCGTTAGCGAGGAGGCAGAAATGGAAGGAAGGATGAATTCACCCAGCTTCGCTCCTTCCTCTCTCAACTCCACCTTTCATCTATCTACCAACAATATCTAGATCCTCTTTTACATCTCTCATCTTCATCGCCAACTCAAACCTTTGCCAACTTCATTCCATCTAAGCAGCTGACCCCATCATCAGGGAGTTGGCCACTTGGGCTCGACTTGTCCCTGGCAGCTGTTGGCAGCTGTCGGTAGCTGTCACCCTCAACTCGCTTCCCGTCGCCGACACTGCCATACCAATCTCCATCACTCGCCTACAGAACAAAAACCTCATCCATCTCAATTTTGCCCCTCGTCCTATCGCCGCCTCAACCTTCTTCAGCTCGCTTGGGTACATCAGTTTTGTATCATGGCGAACAAGAAGCAACGCCCGTCGCTTTTTTGCGAATGGGTAGTTGGAACCACCATCGAGTCCGCCCTCGGACCCATCCCCAAGAAACCGAAAAAACCGAAGAAGCGCGACGTCGTCAGAGTCGAGGTTACCACAGATGACGAGTCTGAAGAGGATACCATCAAGATCACATACCCGCGCACCGGACGCAGCACCCCGCCTCCCCAAGAAGCCAAGACCATTGTTAAGAGGGTTCGCTTCGAAGACACCCCCAAGTCGGCTTTGAAGAAGTCTCCCACCCCCGTGGAAGCATTGGAAGA